AGTTAGGTGGCTGCCAAAGACCCTCTGAATGCATCACCTGAAACTAAAGTCCAAATATAGAAATCTGTGACAAATAAGATCTACCAAGTTTACGAGTTGCCCTTCGGGAAAATTTTGTAACTGGTGAATGTTCATGAATAGAAAACAATATCTTGCATACACAATGCTATTTTTGCTGTGTATATTGGACTGTCACTGAGGGAAGTACGTTAGCTATATTGAGGGTTTTGATAGAGATTTTATAAGTATGTGTTTGTAATGGCCAGAGTATTATTATTGAAGTGTCTGTTTTTATGGTAATGTAATGTCTATTGATTAGTTCTATGGGAGTTCTGGTCACACGTGAAGCACAGTTTGGTATTATCTCCCTTCCCTTGTCAGGGTAGAGCACAAGTGACATGTATGGACGCACAATTGATGCCGTGTCTGTCTGACTCTCTCTCCTGCCATGAGTATATGGAAGATTCGATTCTATTGTGTTTTCCTGGAGGGGTTGGGGTATCACCTCATATAGTGACTGCTGTATTTTTAGTACTGAATCAGTTCAAGAATTCCACACTGTAGATGTGAGACCAGAACTCCTTGGAAAACTATTAGTCATCACATTAAGTTGATGTATATGTAGCCTCAGACTAATATTATAGCTAGGGATTTAATCTGATAGTGCTGGGTCACACCTTGCAGCATCATAAACTGCTCAGTCTGCGGAGTACAGCTGTACTCTGTAGCAACGTGCCAGAGCACTTTGAGCATGATGCTCGGCTTGATGTATTGAAGTCCCATACCCAAAGTCAGCTCATTGCCAGTAATCTCTTAGTTTTTGTTTTTCCTCACCCAGTAGTGTTGGGTTAGAGAGCAAATACTTTATTGGAAATTGTTCATGTTGATATTCCCTTGGATCTGGTTGCATCACAGCAATCACATGGCAAAAAAATTCCAGGCACTAGGTGTGCGTGAGCAGCTGCTCTGCCAGGCACAAGCAGTGACAAGACTCTCTGCCTCCTATTTGCAGTATTATTTCCCTGTTTTACAGTGTCTAGCTTTTTTGCCATTATCTAATGTACATATTTGTTGCTTGATTTGCATTATCCAGATGGCAATAGACTTTTCTTGGCACGGATTCCATAGCCTCCTTAGGTAATCTACAATTAAGTACAAGAAAGATAAAAATATAATACTATGTATCATAAAAAAAAAAAAATGTAATTAAATTTCCTGTAATGTAACTTGTCTCTGATCACGGAGCTAGGAATACGGTGTTAGGATGAAAATGGCGTCCTCCATGTAGCTGGCACTCTTCCAGTTGTGGCTCATGGACATTACATTCCACACTCTTGCATCGATGGGAATAATGAAACCTCATCAAATGAGTTGATCATCTAGTCCAAGAGTGTCTATAGATTATGGTAATTTTCTATTTTCATATAGCCATCCAACCTTACAATTAGTAGTTTGTTATTCATGCAAACCCAAATATCTAAATCTTTATTAGCCCTTTAAGCTAACCAATAGAAAATGAACGTATAGGGTGAGGGTGTTGCGGATTTGGTGTCTCAGCTGTGATATGCAGCAGATAGTCATTTTAGAGCAAATATGAAGCCACAGCAGATGTATCTGTTTGAGTATTGTGCTCTAGACGATGGCAGTTTGTGTTTCCCTCTCAACTCGGTGCATCACCCTCGGTAACATTAACCTTTAACATTTACCTCTGCCACTCCTTGAGGGGAAAGAAAGATGAATGTGATATGCAGTATATAATATTGGTATAGCTAGATTCACAGTAAATGTTTTTAGTACAATTCCTTTCATATTTATGGTGCATCTTCCTTGAGATTTCAAAAATGTATAATTATGATATCTATAATATGCAGGGAATACCTCCTGGAAGTTATTAAAATGTTAATACGAATGTTGTACAGGTGCTGTAAAAAAAAAAAAAAAAAAAAAAAAATACCATGTGTAGTCTGCCTAGTTGTTAGTGGTTAATATAAAGCCCATTGCTGGTTATACATTTTAACCCATTGCCACCGGGGAAAATGAACAAAAAATGGGGGAAATGCTGTACTCATTTTTTATATTTTTGTGAAATATCTCTGTCCATAGATGGCTCTGCTAGTCCTGATTTCACCTTTCCTTGAATTGGCGGGAAAAACGTATTCTTACTAGTGCTATAGATATAGAAGGTGTCATTTTTAACAGCAAATTAAGATAACGTTAAATATTTTCGTAAATCGATGAAAAATGTGAACGGGCGAGACAGGCAGTACTTGTAATTGGCTCATTGGTAACAATCGAACAAGTCGACTCACAGTGGGCATGGCATATATGTACATACCATCCCTGGTGGCAATGGGTTAATATTTTACAGCCGAGTTATTGCAGTTTAGGCTTGTATGCTCATAGAAAAATGGAAGGACTTGATGCTTTTGAGTTGTAGAAAAAGAAGGTATTTCAGACACAAGTCATCTTATCTTTTGTATGCCCAGCCATTATCAAGGCATTATTGAAAAGTAGTAGTGCAATGTTAAGTATATAAAAAATAGAAGCTAGGGTCTAGGGCAGCTATTTAGTGAAAGTTGGTCCAAGGAGGTAGTAGATCAACAAATTCCAAGACAATTTCCAACTGATAAATTCCTTAATGAATTGAAAATTTAATTAAAAGGCAAATAACCTGCTATATTTTAACCTGTTGGTAATGAGGTTTATCTTCACAAAACCAAGCCAGATGCCAGGGTGTGTACACAGCCAGCCACTTGAGCACAAAAATTACTGATTGGCTATATCATATACAACTTTACAGTATTAGTCTAAAGACTTTAGTCCTACTTTTTTGAGATTACAGAATATCTATAGCTAGAGCCATACAAATGAACTGTTTGGGAGGGTGCATAACATGGAGAAGGCTTACCATGTTTGGCATGTATCCTTTGCCAACCTGCTTCTTGGGTCTTGTTATTATGGCAAGAATGGATGTATACTGTCAATATAAGGTTAAATTCATTCATAATGCATATTTCATCTTGTATATGGTCTGCACCCCAAAGTGCTTTTAACCCATTTCTGCTGGTCCACACCTTACGGTGTCATAACAAACTGCTTGGTATGCAGAGTACGGCTCTACGCCGCGGAGTGAACTCCCTCACTCAAAAGTTGGCTTGTTACCATTAATTTCCAGAGTGTAGACCAAAAATATGCGCACACGCTCACCGATAGAAATGGGTTAATATTCAGTTGTGCAGATTCTAAATGCCACTCATGAAATTTGTTTTACAAACACATAGAGCTTAGTGCCAGTTTTTCAAAATTTAGAACCAACCAAGCTCTGTTTTGCAAGAATTGATGTGGGGTGTGATGTGTAAATCTCTAATTATTGAAAATTACTACATTTGTTACATGGGACCGTATTACTTGAAAATCTCTCTATTCCCTATATTGCCTGTCTTTTGCTAATAGGTGATCTATCTTTTTTAAAAAAGGGAAGTTTATTTGCAGAAATTTAATTATTGTGTCCTGCCAGGACACAGAATTCTCCTTTAATAATGAATATCATTTCAAGCACCATTGCTGATTTGATATCAGTGGTGGTTGTACAACAGTTCACCTCCCACAAATGGGCAATTCATATCTTTGTAGACCTTTTTATAAGGCCTAATGGGTTTGGATTTATTGAAGATGTCCTTTTCTATGAGGACATTTTTAGAAAGCATTTGAATATTCAACAATAATTGTTGAATATTTTTGAGGTTGGATATCACAAGAACAAGTTATAATGGTTTCAGATTTTTTCCAGTCCTTGGTTGTTAGGTAATCACACATTTGAAAAAGAAAATGGATATGGCTAATACTTATTACTTTTCCCCAGGGTCGAGTACGTACAAAAACTGTCAAGAAGGCCGCACGTGTCATCATTGAGAAGTACTACACCCGCCTCGGCAATGACTTCCACACAAACAAGCGTATCTGTGAGGAGATAGCCATCATACCATCGAAACCGCTTCGCAACAAGATTGCTGGGTCAGTTAAAGAAATATGTAATCCAGAAATCTCTTAAGATTATTTTTAGACCATATTTTCCATTTATCACCTAGATGTCTATTTTTCCTGAAGGTAGAATTAAGGTTCCTCTCATGTCATAGCATCCCACCATTTATTGAAAGAAAATGGGACAGTAAAGCCATTTATTAGTTAATACATTGATGTTTATTAATAGCTTAAATTAATTTTCAAGATGCTGTAAAGCTAAGCCAGTGGTAATTATAAATTTATTAGAATGTATCTGAGGACAAAGATGGCTATACATGTTTGTGTTCCTCATTATTACTTAGTGTATGAGAACCTGAAACCACTGTATGTGTATGTTTGTAACAAGACTAAAAAGGCATTTGTATTTCTTTAGCATTACTGTGAAATGAATACATACACATATATGAAGAGTAAAATGAGATTTTATATTCAACTCGTACCATTGTAAGTGCTGTAAGTGTTCAGTCTCCAGTTTAGAGGTAATTATTGGTGATTGGAAGTACATTTTTAAAATGCTGAGGAACTTGAATCTGACCCAACTATATAGTAAGCCATAAATGCCTACTTTTGATCATTTATTATAATGATTGCTTTTATGGTCTACAGGTTCGTGACTCATTTGATGAAACGCATCCAGCGTGGACCAGTTCGTGGCATCTCCATTAAGCTGCAGGAGGAGGAGAGAGAACGACGTGACAACTATGTGCCAGAGGTCTCAGCCCTTGAGGAGGACATCATTGAAGTTGATGCTGATACCAAGGAGTTGCTCAAGACCATGGTATGTTCTCCATTTCATTGGATATATTCTGTTCTGGTTGTTATTTATAGAAAGTTTATACTTATTTATTTATGTATTTTAATAAAAAAAAAATTTTCCTTACAGGACTTTGACAAGCTTGCTGGCCTTCAGGTGACCCAGCCTGTTCCTTCTTCTATTGGCGGAAGGCGATAAACTAGGCTAATAAAGAAAGAGGAAATTTTTGTTGTCATTTTCCCATATAAATACTGAGTAAATGTATGGTCTCCCATAAAGCTTCACATTCAATTCATTAGTGTTTATTTCATCTTTTACACAAGTCAAATGGTAAGGTCTATGGCTTTAAAACCAAAAATAGAAGAAAGATAAAGATGCATGGTTAATTAGAGACCCAGATTAATTTATTTGAATGACAAAGATACTTGTTACTGTTGGAAAAGTGTCAACAATACCATGCCTAAAGTCTACTTTCAACAATGCACCCAAAAACAAGTAGGCAAAGTTTACTTCTGCACCTGTCCTGTTCATGCCTTGCCACAGTTACATCTGAGTTCCAAGCCCATGTACAATCTACCCTGGTTGACCTTACTGGTGAGCCTATTTATACCCAACCCCACTCCTCCCTTATTACCTTGTACTAGAACAGTTTCCAATTCAAAAGCTGATTGCCCTGTCTATGACAAGGATTGGTCAGATGACAACTTATTTGCTTGCCTCACTATGATGCAGTATCAGTATCATACACTACTTCCCCTAGATGTTGTTGTAAGTCCTACAGCAATATTGCCAAGATTACCTTCTATAGAAGGTCTATATTGGCAGAGAATCTTGCCATGTCCGACAATATTAACCCTCACAAAAGCTCTACAGCTCACTCACCCACCCTGGTCATGATGTACATGTGCCAGTTGTTGTCTCTCCCATAATGTATTTTATAGGCACTGCCCTTCCCACAAGTTTGAGTTTGAGTATGAGAGGCCAGACTGGAAGCACGTTGACTAGGTATTTCTATCACTCCCTACTCTAATACTATCCATCACTTCATTCCTTTACTCTCTGCCCAAACTGTTTCTACATCTTCCACAGTAGCTCTAATACCGCCTCTTCAGTGTTTGCTGTCAGCTTTGTCCATTCTGAGTCATCCATCCAGCCATTACTTGTGCTTCAGAATAACCTTCAGAATACCCCCCCCCCCCTGTTCCTCTCTCCTAACATCTACTCCATCTACTAGTCTTCTTCATTGTCTTCCCACTCCTCCTCTGAAAACTATTCATCTCTATTGTCGTCCTCCCCACAGTACATCATCACTCTGCACTACCCTATCTTCCTTCTGCTCCCACCACCACAAACCTTTCAGCCCAACTAAGTGGGATCAATTCTTTGATACCCTGCACAGCCCCTTACAATGACAATACCCTTCTTTTCTGACTGACCTCATAGGCAAAGCTATTAATGCTTTTACTGGAACTGGTTCCTCCTTGCTGATTGATTGTACTGTCTACAATAAAGTCTGATCAGATTGAAAATAATTTTGTTGGGTGCCTAGCCATGTTGGAATCCCCAAAAATGAACAGGCAGATACTCCAGCACCCTCTGCTGCTATGCCCACATCACAATCATGTTTCTCATGTACTCCACCCATGGATTATTACCCCTAATTTAAGACCTTCCTTTCTACCTGAAGGCAATCTTTCTCGTCAAGTCTTCGCACTAATAAATTGCATACTGTAAAACTTATCAATTTCCTCCTGGTCACCTCCGTTTCATTGAAACTGAAACACGTTCGGAGACTGCTCTTGCCCACTTACGTATCGGCTACACTGGTCTAAAACACCTATTTGATGTTACATTTTGATCCGCCCCTATGTTTCCAATGTAAAGTCTTTCAGTTCCACACACTTACCCTGTTCACATTAAGCTGCAACCCGTACTTCTGCTTTCCCCCACCTATCCTCCTTTTCCCGACCTCCCAACCTATCAGACATCCTTACGGAACCTCACACTTTCTGCCTTGACAACCTGTTCTTCCTCAGACGCATACATATCCTTCACTTGATCTAATCCCCCTTACCTAATCCTACCTTAATCCATTCACTCATCAACTCCTCTACCCATTTTTAACCTTTCTAATGTTACTCTAGATTGTTGATATAGTAAACTACTAGCTCAGATACCCTTCACTTCCCTTTACTATAACTTCATATAGTGCTACATGACCTTGGATGTGTAGCACATTTATTTGTATATTTATTTTATTATCATTTTATTTATTTATTTAAACCATTAACCATTCCCATATACTTCAGGCTCACATTGGACAATAATGAGTTTTGTACCCTTAACCCTTTCCTGACGGGAAAATATATAAAGGATGGGTGAAATTCTGTGCTCTTTTTTTATATTTTTTGTTAAATGGCCGTTACTAGATAGCTCTGCTAATGCTTAGCCATAAAGGATTTGGCGCAAAAAACCTATTCGTACTAGTGCTATAAATATAGATGGTGTTATTTTTATTATAAACATTATGATTACTAAAATGTTATAAATATTTGTAAGAGCAAAATAAGATAATGTTAGATATTTTCGTAAATCGATGAAAAGTGTGAATGGTGGAGACAGGCGGTACTCATAACTGGCTCATTTAGTACAAGTGTAGCCATCTGTGTGTATATACAATTAAACAAGTAAACTCACAATGGGCATGGCATGTACGTACATGCCATGCCCGTCGGCAAGGGGTTAATAGGGGCAATAAAGCTTGCCCCATTATCAACTAGCCTACCTAAATTTGACCCCCCCCAATTCCTTGCTCGTTGTTGCCGTGGGGGGTTAAGGAGGTGGAGACTGAGGCCCAATGTAGGGCTCACCCCTGCCTTGAACCTCCACCCTTGCCTTATCATCTTCTGTCCACTTAGCAAAATTGTAAACCCATATTTACCCCTTTTCCCCCAATACTTTACCATAATGCAGTGTAACCTTTGATGTCTGGTACATTTTTTTGTATTGGCCATTGACCATTCTGCCCCCAAACCCCACCCTATACTATATCTTGTATATGCTAATGACCTTAGACCTTAGCAGAAAATTTTCAATAAATAAATAGATATCTAAATTTGACCCCTCCCCTAATAAAAATAATACCCTTTCCTCCATGATTCCCCCTCCATCTACCAATGACCCTAGATGTTGATGCTGCAGAAAATTTTCCATAAATAGATAATATTCCTCTCTCAACACTACTCCCTCTTCCACTCATCCCTGTCCTTCTACTACCCCCACCTCTACAGACCTTTGAATACTGTTTCATGATCCCTTCACAGCCCCTTACTCTGACAACACTCTCTTCTTCCTGCAATCCCTCCATAAAGAAATAGGCAAAGTTTCCTTCTGCAGCTGCTCCATTCATTCCCACCTTGTCACAGTTACATCAGAACCCAAGCTAAAGCATCATCAACCCTAACTAACCCATTCCCACCCAGCTTCATTTCTCCCAACATACCTGTACTGGAATTGTCACAATCTTCCCAACAAACTGCCCTATGACAAGGATTAGTCAGATTGTGGAGAAGACTTACTGACCTGCCTCATAGACTACTGATGCAGTATCAGTACAGCACTACACCATACCCCCTAAAACCAACCATAAGTCCTTCACTAATATTACCAAAAATCATTTCCATCGACATCACCTCTCTATGATGTTTATATTGGCAAAGTCCCTCCCTATCTGACCATATTTTTGGTGTCTAGGCTACCCTACCAAACACTGCTGCTCCATAGCCTGACGCCTTCTGTGTGCCCAACCTGCTCTGCACAATCATGCACATATGACACTTTTGGTGGATCCAATAATGTATTTTATATGGTCTGCCCTACTGCCTTTGTTTTTCCTGCAGTACTTACCCCTTAGAATGTATTTACTGTCACAAAACCTTGACCACTCACTAAGGCGCTTCCTTTGTAGGGTTCTCTCCTCAAGTTTATACCAGACCAAGACCACCAACATCCCACTCTCCATGCTTGCTTAACCCATTGCCGCCGGGGATGGCATGTACGTACGTTCCATGCCCACTGTGAGTCGACTTGTTTGATTGTTTTTACACATATGTGGCTACACTCTACCAGGTCAACAGTAAGCCAATTATGAGTACTGCCTGTTTCGTTTTTTCCCGCCAATTGAAGGAAAAGTGAAATCAGGACTAGCAGAGCTATCTATGTACAGAGATATTTCACAAAAATATAAAAAATGAGTACAGCATTTTCCCCATTTTTTATTCATTTTCCCCAGTGTTAAGATACTTTTGCTTAAAAAATAGAACCCTTAAACTACACCTGAGTGGTTATTTCCCATGTCTGACACCATGAACTTATTAAATTCCTTCCTTTCCTCTTCTTTCTTTTTGGTTAATCCTCTCTTCTTTTATCCCTCATTTCCTGTCTCTTTCTCCTCATTATTTTTTTCTCTTTTTTCTTGCTTCTTTTTCTCTCTCCCTCTCCTGTCTCTTTCCTTTCCTCTCCTTATTAAAAAATTGAGCCCCGGGATGAATCAACTCATCTTTCTCATTCTTCATTTCTCTTTATGCCTTCCTTGATATTAGAGAACATCTCTAGCCAAGTTAAAACCTTGGACGATCACCCCCTTCATGTGCTTCACAGAAAAAATGGAAAAGGATCGAAGGAAAAGGGAGCGAGGCATGGAATAACAAATAAGAAACAATTTATGCACATGTATATATTGCAAATAAAATATACAATTTTGGAAACAATATGACTACAAACACATTTAAAATATATTTTTTATATTTAGTTACATAATTTAACAACCATGAAGTTGAGGTATCTAAAGCTATCAAGAAAGGTACCACACAAACTTGGAGGAATACATGAATATATAATGTACGCAAAGCCATTAACTGCTCTTGACTTTATTAAAAACTGATACTATCAAGATGATTCCTCAGATCAAAAAAAGGAAGTAAACACTCAGACATTTTGCCTATTTCCTACTGTGGTTACATCAAACCTTATCACAGCTTTCCAACTACCATATTTATGTCTTCCTTTTAAATCTAAACTTAGCATTAAATTGAGAAATACTGTCTAGTCAGTCATGGAACTGATTATTTTCACTGATCACCATGAAGGGATATAATCAACCATAAGAAATCATTTAAAAAAAAATCTAGAAAGATTCAATCAATATTACAGTCTTCTCATTCT